ATCCCTAATGCCTTGGCAGGGCCAGACCAAATGATTTCTCAGGCCTTATATGGCATATAGGCCAGATGTTCCCCACCCCTGGGCTAGACCCAGGCTAGGTCAGTTATTGAACATTTATTATTAATTCAACCAAGTTTCTAGGCCCTAGAGATGCATACACAACACAGTCCCTGCTCTCAAGAATTGACAGTCTAGTGGGGAATCGGATCCAGATACCCCTGCTGATAGTGAGTTTTGGATGTGATGAGTGCTAAAACAGAGGTATCCACACAGAGCTGGGGAAGATATGGGACTATTTACACTGGCTCCACAGAACGTCAAAATGAGAGGAGGGAAGTCAGAGGTTATTTCAACAGGGGAAAGAACATGAGCAAAGACATGCAGCCTACCTCCAACAGAATGTTTGACTCAGAAGAGACCTTCAAAACCAGCTTTTTATATAACTTTAAAATTCCTTATGTATCATTCTGCAGAGATGATAATTCAATTTCAGCTAGAACGTTTCCACTGAAGGGAAGCTGGTTACCTCACAAGACAGAAAAGGTTTAGTGCTAACCTTTTCAGTTGGCTCTACACTGTGAGAAGGGGACCTGTCAGAGTCTATCTCTTCATTGTCTCTGAATAACAGCCCCAGTAATACTTGGTCTCTGACTTCCTCTCAAGAAAATAAGAAAATGCCATGTGTTTTAGAACCTTTGACTTATAGAATGTTAGAGCTGAGAGGGACCTCAGATAGCATTTAGTCCTATTTTTAAGAATCTCTCTGTGACTCATGGACCCTCTTTGAGATTGTGATAAAAATGTAGAGATACTTCCCTCAAAATTCACATGACATAGGAAATGCTTCGTGAATTTTCAGAGAATTCATGGAGTCCCAAAGCCTATCCTTTTTATTTTACTGACAGGAAACTGAGGCTCAGAGCAGTGGAATGGCATGAAGGAGCACCATGGAAGTGATTTCCCATGGCTCAGACTACAGCATGAGCAGAAGAGTCAGACCTATGAGTCCGCCCTGGAGACAGGCATTGACAAAGTGAAGCTGTTTGGGAGAGCAGGCTGCAAGAGGATCTGCTATGTGGCAAAAGGAGACCTAGGTAAGGAGTGTGAGTGTCATGAACACTTCCTTTAATGATGTGAAGGTTGGTTTATAAAGAGGATTTATACTTTTATCTTTAGTTCAAAACCAAAAGGTAGAAAAGAACTTCTGCCAGAGAGAACTGCCCACTAATGGAATGTACTGCATGAGAGGCACAATTCCTTGTCATCTGACATTTTGTGGACATAGCAGGGACTTCAGCATGACAAGAGTCTGAATGGAGGGACCCAAACTGGACTTGATTATGTAACTCTGAGAGTTATACTCACTCTCATACACTAGCCAGAGGCAGCTCAGGTCTCCCAGATCATGTGGTTAGTAAAGCAAGTGGTAAGAGAGGAAGCAAAGGAAGTTCAGGATGGCTCAAGTGAAGATGTGGGAGGGTGGGAGTAGTAGAGAGGAATGAGATTTGGAGATATAAGTGGAAGTAAAATGTTGAAGGGCCTTACACAGCATCATGCCTGATATTCAAGAATAAGGGCTTGTATTGAGTAATGGGACAGAGAAGGAAAGCAAAAGGATACAACAGTACATTTCAAAAGAGGAACCAACAGAATCAGTGGTGGCTGCACTAGCAGGGAAGTCAGGAGGGGAGGGAAGAGACAGGCTGTGGTGATGAGCTGCAGGTGTCGCACAGTGGGTCTGCAGTGCTGGTGACAACAGGACACACAGTGGAAATGTCTAGTGATCTGAGATGCTGGCAGAGACCAAGGGACAGTGAAGTGGAGACGCCCAGGAGGCAGCTGATGAGCCGGGATTAGAGTTCTAGGATGCCAAGATACATGAGCCAGAATAAGGGGTTATCTACAGAGATGAAGTAATTTGAGTCTTAAAAATAGATACATTTTCAATTTAAAAAAGCATAGCTGGAGTAGAGGTCTAAGAAGTTTGCCTGCAGGGCTGACCGCAGTGTAGAGATGGTATAATTTAAAAAGGTGAGAAGGAAGAGTTGGCAAGTTAGAGGAGATCTGTGATTAGAGAGTGAAATAAAAACCTGGCAAAAAGAAGCTCCAGGGAAGACGAGTGATCCACATAAACACGGTCTTAATTTAGTGTGCCCTCAGCGGTGCTTCGGCAGGCAAATTAGCTCATGTTCATTTTGGCAACAACACAGGTGGAGCAGTATGAGTTACAAAGTGGTTTTGAATGGATTATAGGTATTCTTTAAACAGTATTTTCTAAAAAAAAAAAAAACACAAAAAACCTTAGAGAATATGACTCAAATGTCTCTCCCAATTTCTCTATCAGTAAATTAAAAGTCACTGTAAGTTAAACAAGTTGCTTTCACACCCGTCCTTTAAGGAAGGTGATTTCTGCTGGGACCCCTGGGAAAGGGGCCCGCGTCAGCAGGCAGCGGGCGCACAGACTGAATCTAACATTCTGATTTCTGCTCTTTAAAACAGAAACGAAACACAAAATTAAACACTGACTCAGATTTTAAGAAATAACTCTTGAGAAATAAAGTTAAAACAAATGAAGTCTGGCTTTTTTTCCATTGAAGTATTTCCCGTGGGGATCTATTCGATGATGACTGTAGGAGGTGATAGGTAAAGTGTACAAAACTTGTTTATGCCCCGTAATGGCACCCGATAAAGGAAAGACTGTGATTGAGAAAAAGTAAAGCTCATAATTTTTTCAGTTTTGGCAATTTCAAATATCATCCCAGTAAGCACAGTTCCCATTTAAAAGGTTTTTAAAAAATGAATGTCAGAAACTAAGAATTAAGAACAAAGAGGACGACCTATCTTCCACAGTAGTGAAATGAATTAGGATAAGAAGTAGGAGGGTTAAAGGAAAGGAGAGAACTAGATGTTCCCTAAATCTCCTTGTGGTTCAAACCCTCTGGGCTGAATGTTGCAAAAAACAAATGAACAAAGATGTTGGGGGAAATATCATAAGCATTACGTACTTTATGTAAGCATCATTATTTGAAATCCCTCCCTCCGTACAGCAGGTCTTCTGACAAATGAATCTTAGCTGCCAGCTCTCCACTGAATCCAAACGCTTGGCCCAGGTAAATGGCCTCTGGGCAGCACCTCAGGCAAGGAGAGGAGGCGGTGGCTGAGATCTCCAATGATGAAGACGTGGGTTTCCCAGAGCTGGACACTGCCTAGACACCCACTGGCCTGCTCTGGCCTTTCTACCGATGAAGAGCCTGAGGCCCGAGAGAGAAATGCTGTGTGCAATTCACCGCATGGAAACATTCGAGGCTGGATTTGACCCAGTCTACTTTCCACTCTACCACACCCTTCCATTCCTCTGGAAAGGTAGTTTGGGGGTAGTTTGTATGTCTCCCCCCCCCCCCAAAGGAACATATTAACACAAATACAACTCATATTAATCAAATCAAAGTGAGTTGTGTTTGGATTAATTGGTCATTTAGGGGGGACATACAACACCAGTCACGTTGCTTTAGAGTAGCACTTCCGGTAGATATGACTTGGAACTCTGAAAACAGATTCTCACATATTAAACTGTGGAAGGAAATACAATATTCCATCCCTTGTATAAAATATTTACTTGCCTCTCAGGGTAATTTGTCATGTGTATTACCTATTTACATTGTCACACACACGCAGAGGACTTTGATAGGAAGGCTGGAAATAGGCATGTAGAGGCTTTAGGCTAAACTGGATTCTCTGGCACTTGTGCTGCGATGGGCTTCATTAAGAGACCAATGCAAAGGAATGTTTCTGAGGATGCCACCTACTCTGATGGCTTCAGGGTCACAGAAAATGTGTTTCTGTCAATCATGTCTGGCAAAGGTGAGTAATTATTCTGGTGAGTAATTCCAGTTCATGGTGGTATTTAACTTCTTGTTGACATGGTTTATCCTGTCTTTGATTATTATTCTTAATTGCTATTTATTACATGTATGCTTCCCCCTTGTTTGCAAGATATGGAAGGAATTAAGAGTTGGAATAATCCAAGGTTTGGAAACATTCAAGATACAGCCCGGAAGCTGTCTCTCAGGAATCTGCCTATTGTCTGCATCTTTATCATCAGAAGTTTTGGTCTTATATCCACTAATGTGATACCTCCTGCTATTTAAAATACACAACACGGGTATCAGAGAAAAGGCAAACCAAAGCCTAATCTAAAACCTATCACTTACTGTAAAATAACCACAATTGATAATACGTACCTATGACTATTTTGCATCATTATCCAAAAAAGTGGGAGGTTCTTGAAGCAAGTATTTTCCTTTTAGTTACTATTTTCTCTATAGGCTCTCGACAAAAGTTTTGTATGTACAGTAGAGTTCAATCAATGATTATTGAATAAATTATATTTTTTAGTATAAATTTGTCAAGGAATAGGTGGGGGAGAAGCAAGTTATTTATACAGTTGGTTGCTTTAATCAAATCAAAGCTCAATTAGTCTAGGCCAGTGGTCGGCAAAGTATAAGCCAACAGAGCTAAATATCAACAGTACAACCATTGAAATTTTTTTTGAGAGCCAAATTTTTAATATTTAAACTTCTTCTAATGCCACTTCTTCAAAATAGACTTGCCCAGGCCGAGGTATTTTGTGGAAGAGCCACACTCAAGGGGCCAAAGAACAGCATGTGGCTTGCGAGCCGCAGTTTGCCGACCACGGGTCTAGGTAAAAGTTTCTTCGGGAAAGGCAGGAGAGGTGAGAAGACCAGCTTTCTCTGCAGCTCACTGAGGGAGCATGGCCACCCTCCACTCCCTCCCTGGGAAACTGAGAGGAACAGCCACCATGCAGAGGTTAGATCTTGTCCTTCATTTCAGCCTCAGTCCTCCAAAGGACCGGTGAGCAGAGGGGAAAAGTGGCTTGGGTACAGGGATCAAAGCTATTTCAGATTCCCTCCCAGACTCCCTCCACCCCTTCAGCCCTGACCCTGAGTTCTGAGAACCCTTCGCTAAGAGCTGGGACTTACTTGGCAGCAGCATCTTTCCTCAGCTGCTCATGCTTCATGAGGAGGTTCTTGCGGTCTCGGAAAGCTTTCCTGACCTTGTAGCCTTTGTACACAGCTTGGATTTTGAAGGCAGCGATGTCCTGGATGGCCGCGATGGACAGGGCGCCGCGCTCCAGCATGAACTGGATCACTTCATGGCGCTCACCAAGCAAAGCGTAATCCAGGGGCGTGTACCTGCGGCAGGGAGAGTTGTTCAAGTGTCGGAATGTAAGTCAAGGTACAGCTAACTGGCAACACATGCAGGAAAAGGAAACATGCGAAGACATGGAACATTCCTCAGGCAGAGCAGCTCCTTCTGTTCTCTGAGGGGCACAAGCAAGGGGGACGCTGGGGTCAGGTGCTCTGTGCTGCTGACCGCATCAATTCCTGCGTTTTGCTTACTGGCTCACAAATTGGGGGCTGTGAGAACATGATCCCCTTTCCTCTTTCCCATGTTCCAAATAATTCTCATGCCTATCTGAAAGAGTACTGCAAATAATATTCTGCGAGATTCATAATTTGAGCGTTAATGAAATAAAAAATATCTCTGGCCAATGTGGTTCAGTTGGTTGATCATTGTCCTATGTACCCAGAAGGCATCAGTTTAATTCCAGGTCAGGGCACATGACTGGGGTGCAGGCTAGATCCCCAGTAGGGGGCATGCAGGAGGCAGCTAATCAATGCTTCTCTCTTATTGATATTTCTCTCTCCCTCTCTCTTCCTCTTTCTATAAAAAAAAAAATCAATAAAACATTATTTTAAAAAAGAAATTAAAAATATACCTCCAAATAGAGAGATTTAGTATATGATAAGGATGGCTCTTTAGCTGGAGAAAGGATGAACTATTAAATAATGCTGAAACAATTGGGTAGCCATCTGGGGAAAAAATACTTAATCACATTTTACTCTAAAATAAATTATGAATGAGGTAAAGATCTAAATATATATATATATATATATATATATATATATACACACACACACACACACACACACACACACACACATAAAAGAAGTCAATGTTGTATCATAAAGAATCATGGAAGATTTCTTAAAAATTGAAGAGGGAAGTCTTAAAAAAAAAAAGGTACAAAAGTCAGAAATCTTATGCTTGATAAATCCAACTACATAAAAAAAAAACAACAACAACAAAACACACACACAAAATAAAACTTTGCAGGGGCAAAAACATCAATAACAAAGATAAAAGTGTTCCCATAATAGGAAATACTGATGGCTCCTATGTCCAATCTCACTAATTTAAGAGAGATACAAATTAAGACACTTGTGAAAGAGCATTTTAATAATTAAATTAGCACACACCAGAAAGTTTAAGTACCTACTGTGCTGGCAATCTCTCACACACTGTCTTAATCTCTAGGGAGAACAATTGGGCATACCTATCAAAATTATTTATGTATCTGCCTTTCAACATAGCCATTTCACATACAGGCATTTATCCTTCGGATCTGCTCTCCTCTGTGAGCTGCTTTATGTGAAAGGATATTCACAGGAGCACAGCTTGAAATAGTATAAGAATGCAAACAACCTCAATATGCATCAACAGAGGACCAGTTAAATAAAGCTCAGGCCACCCATGCAACGAAGTCATCAGTGTATGAATAAATAAGGGACAATCTCCAGGATCTCTTGTTAAATGAAAAAAGAAAGAAAAAAGTAAGAAACAGAAGAGTATTACGGCATGCTTCACTGTACAAAAAAAGAATTTATCTGTGTGTTCGCCTATATATTAGGTCTAGTAATAATTAATGTCGTTTTCTAATACTTTTTAAAATCGACTTTATTTAAACAATACAACAAAATTTAATCAACAATATAGTTGCCGTTGTTTTCTACTACTTGTGCCCAACGCTCAGGAAGCATTTTAATCCCTCTGTTGTAAAATTCTTGTGATTTTGATGCAAAAAATTCGGTCAATGCATTTTTGAGGCATTCTTCATTATTAAATTTTTTTCCAAGAAGAAAGTTTTGCAAAGAACAAAACAAATGGTAATCGGAAGGGGCAATATCAGGAGAATATGCAGGTTGAGGGAGAACTTCCCATTCCAACTGGCGCAGTTTTTCAGCAGTGATTCTTGCAGTATGCGGTCGTGCGTTATCGTGGTGAAGAATTACGCCCTTCCGATTAATCAGCGCGGGTTCTTTTTCTCTTAAAGCTTGGGCTAACCTTTCCAATTGGGCACTATACACTGCACTTGTAATGGTTTGGTTAGATGGTAAAAGTTCATAATGAAGAATTCCTTTAAAATTCCACCAAACACACAACATCACTTTTTTCGCATGCAAGTCAGGTTTTGGCGTGGGCTGCGGAGCCTCATTTTTGTCCAACCATTGAGGCCGCCTTTTCAAATTAACATCCAGCACCCATTTTTCATCTCCGCTAACAATTTGCTCTAAAAACGGCAAACGGTTTTGACGAGAGAGGAGCGAACTGCAAATTGTGACTCTTTGATTACGGTTGTTGTCGGTCAACTCATGAGGAACCCATTTTCCAAACTTTTGGATTTTGCCAAGTGCACGCAATTGATTGGAAATTGTTTTTTGTGAACAATTTAAAGTTGTCGCAAGCTCTTGTTGGGTAATTTGAGGATTTTGCACCAAAAGAGCTTGAAGAGCTTCTTGATCAAAATTGGACACACGGCCTCGACCACTCTTGTCATCTAACGAAAAATTTCCCTCGCGAAATTTCTCAAACTAACACTGGCATTTTCTGGCGCTAACTGCATCTTGACCAAAAGCACTACAGATGTTTTTTGCAGCCTCACTTGCTTTTCTTCCTAATTGGAACTCGTAAAGCATGCAGTGCCGAATATGCTCTTCATCCGCCATCTTCTTAGCCCTAGTTTTGCAACAAAAACCAAACCAAACACAAACTTTTTCAAGCAAAACTTGTTAATTGCACTTCACATGTTCTGTAGATACCACGTGTTTGAAGGTTATGTCAATACAAGTCAACGCCAAGCAAGATTTTAAACGAATGTTTAAAAACGACATTAATTATTACTAGACCCGATAAAACATATTTCCAGAAGTTTCCCAAGAAACTGGTGACAGTGATGCGTAAGAGAGAAACTAACTGTCTCAGAGGCAAGCGCAGGAGGGACAGTCAGTTTTCACTCAATGCCCTTTTATGCCTTTTAAATTTTGTACAGTGGACATATAGCCCTTTTTTGATAAATATATTATTTATAAAGGATAAATATTATTGTCATGTAGTCATGTGTTTCAAATGACTCTAATTTGTGATTGCAGGCAAATTCCTTTTTTAAAACCATTTTTCTAGTTTTGGAAATATAAAATAAATTAGATAAATACACAGAAGAAAATAAGTCATCCAAATCACCACCCTCACAATTAACCACTGTTACTCTCTTGGCAGATATGCTTTTCTTTTTTAAAGAAAAATAATTACTTCATGAAAAGGACACAGCTAAGAATTTAAACAATGCGAGAGGTAAAAATAGTGAAGTAAAAACACCCCAAATCCCAAATCCCACCACCCAACAATGGTGATGGCAACTGTCACTTCTTAAACAACTTACTCGATGTTTCTAAGCTCCAGCTTTCCTCATCACAGACGTGGCATGAAGAAAAAAAAATAAGAATGTAAAGATTGGCATTGTGCCTGGCACAAAGGAGTTCATATGTATCAGCTATTACTGTTATTATAGGACATACATTGCAGTATGATGTGTGACACCATAATTACTTATCATAAATATTATTTCCATTGGATCCAAACTAGTATTTATGGCCACCTAATGGCCGCCACTGATCTGATTCCTCTCTGAGTGACTGTTATTAATTCAACGCAATAAGAGATGTTCAGAGAAAATAATCAGCTGATATCTGAAGTGGAATAAATGATGATTATATGAAAGCATCATTAGACACAGAAAACTATTCAATGATTACAGAAAAAAAAATCTCTTCAAAATTCATCTAATAGCTACAGTAAGCCATAGAAGGACAGGTTTTTAGTATAAGCAAAGGGTGGTTTGGCCACTTCAATAAGGAACTGAATTCAGAAGGAAGCCCCAAGTGCTAAAGTTAAGCAACCCTCATTTAAGGGCAGCTCAATCTGCCACTACTGTTCAGGGACCAAAAGTAGAGATGCCTACGTAAACTTTAAAACATTATTTACACATAGTTTAAAAAATTTAACTACAGCTGAAACCAGTTTGGCTCAGTGGATAGAGTGTTGGCCTACGGACGGAAAGGTCCCAGGTTTGATTCCAGTCAAGGGCGTGTAACTTGGTTAAGGGCACATCCCCAGTGGGGGGTGTGCAGGAGGCAGCTGATCGATGTTTTTCTCTCACCGATGTTTCTAACTTTCTATCCCTCTCCATTCCTCTCTGTGAAAAATCAATAAAATATATTTTAAAAAATTTAACTACATATTAAATGGTAAATAGTATCATATAATGGTAGAGCTAAATTGAATTTTACAGGACATTTAGGGAAATAAATTCAATAAACAGACTCAGAAAAAATAAGCAACTTGCTAAAGGTTCTATAACTAGTAACCTGCAAAATCTAGACTGAAACTAAGATCCAATGTCTCCCTGTTTAGCAATCTTTCTACAACACATCTATCAATTATTGAGTTTAAGTCTCTTAGAGAATGAAACTTCTAAAATCAATGTGAGCCGGGACCGGTTTGGCTCAATGGATAGAGCGTCGGCTTGGAGACTGAAGGGTCCCGGGTTCGATTCCGGTCAAGGGCATGTACCTTGGTTGCGGGCATATCCCCAGTAGGGGGTGTGCAGGAGGCAGCTGATCGATGACTCTCTCTCATCAATGTTTCTAACTCTCTATCTCTCTCCCTTCCTCTCTGTAAAAAATCAATAAAATATATTTAAAAAAAAAAAATAATAAAATAAAATAAAATCAATGTGAAATAACCTATATTTAGTAAGTTAACCATTTCTTCTATAATAAAATGTAGTGTCTTTCATGTAGTACACAAAGCAAGATTATAAAAATCTGGTTTATGAAATTAAGACCTAAACTATGCCTATACTTACAAATATGACAAAAGCAAAGAACAGCTTGCAAAGACACCCTAAAGAATGCTGAACCGGGAGTCAGAGACCTGTGAGACCTGGACATTCTCTTCACTTCTCTGAGCTTCTGTTTCCTCATTTGTAACAGGTGAAAAGGAGGTGGGAAGAGCTAGATCTCTCAGGCAGTGTGTGAATAGAAATTGCATTTCAAATGTTTTTCATATTTTTAATATGAAAAAAATGTATTTTTATTAGGAGACAACTCAAACATAAACAGAAGTAGAGGGTATAACGCCATAATGCTTTGCACACTCATCATCTAAATGTAACAATTAGCAAGATCATTGCCACATTTGCTTCATCCAAGCCCTTTCTTTTCACTTTTGCTAAAATATCTTAAAGCAAATCCCAGAATTCCTATCATTTCATTTCCCTGCATTTCAGTATTCACCTATAAATAATATGAACGTAACCACGCAACTATTATATTAACAAAATTAACAGGAATTCCTCAGTAAGATCCAATGTCAACTCCCCATTCAAATTCCTCCCAATTTCCTAAAAAAAAAAAAAAAAAAATTCCCCCCCAACTGGTTTATTTGGGATTCTCAGTCAATTTTTGCTCAGACACACAATCAAAATACCTAGCAAGGTTTTAAGATTGAAAGTCTGTATACCTAGAGTTCAAGCAACTGACCATATTGTGATTATTACTATTGAATTTTTCTTCACCCCCAATTCAATTTAGAAACATTCAAGTGCTGTGAATATTCCCATCAATATCAGAGTGTGGCTGTCAGAGAGGTATTGACTGAAAGCCAGCAAGAGCTGGCAAAAATTATGTCTAAGCAGTGCACATCAAAGGGTTAGTGTCAATGCATGAGAAGTAAAAATTAGCCCCACATTGATGGTAACCAGTCAAGAAACAATGTAGATAAAGACGAGACAAGATACAATTGGACCTGCCAAGTGGGAATGGTCTGTTGGGATGAGCAGAATGCCTAAACCAGAATGTCAATAAACATAAAAGGCAGTGCCAAGTTCTGACATTTGTACATCAAGGTGCATTGCTGATGAAACATTAAAGGGGCCTGGAATATTGCCACTGTCTCTTTTCATTTATAGATTGGCAAGTTCAGTTAGGCGGGCTTTTTCTATGGTCTTTTGGTCTGTAATTAATCTATTCTTTCTCCAGGAGGCAGTAAGCACCTTAATTCTTAGGTTTACTTAGGTCTGGAATTCAATGCTTCACATATAAATGGGAACTGAATGCAAACAAAATGTTTTTTTTACTGTTTCCTAAAAAATAAGAGCCATGTGATAAACACTGTCATAGAATAAATGCTTTACAGAAATAAAACATCACTAATCTTAGGATTCTTAAACCTTCCCTTTGGTGGTTTTAGGATTTCAGAGGGAGAAATCTTCCCTCTCACAGTTCTGTCACAACCTCAGCTTCCTTAAATGCCCAACTCTCTAAATCTGCAAATATTGTTTGTTTTGTAGTTATCATATGACTATAATAGAGAGTGCATTCTTTATATAATTGCTCCTAAAGTAAGGCATACTAGCCTGCTTTATCTAATTCTTCATGTGCTCTAAGAATTCCAGAAGTTTCTAATGCAGGTATTAAGCAGGGCAATGCTTACTAAGAGTCTGACAATACCAACTTGACAACCAACACTTATTTACTGAGCATCCACTTCATAAAAAGCACGGTACACTGTACAGAGATGACCATGATCCTTAGAAGTTCTCTGCTATCGATAATAGGGAAGACAGAGGACACAAAATTATAAAGTGAAATGTGCCAACTGCTGTAAAAATACAGTGTAGGGAAGAACAAAGTCTGGGACACATGACTATGGGATCAGAACAATCTCCTTAGATGAGATGGCATTTAATAGAGGAATGACATGATTAACAATTACATTAGAAATATGTAACAATCACATTAGAAATATGATTAACAATTACATTAGAAATATGATTAGAAATAAGTAGCAGGGCTTCTTTGGAAGTCGATGAATTGAATGAGGAAAGATCAAAGGAGGGAAAACAGCAAGGAGACATTGCACAAGTCCCAGAAAGAGTCAAAGCGAGCTTGATTTAGACAATGATGCTGGTAATGAAGAGAAGATGACTGTGAAGCAAGGAGAGATCCTGAGTCTGAAATATAGTTTAGAACCCAACAGGACCCTGGTGATTGCTGAAGCATCAATGGCTGGTCAGATCACCAAAGGAGATAGGCTGAGAGAAGAGATCCAGTCCTTGAGCAATGTTTATATTAAAAATAAATAAAAGAACAGAAGAAAAGCAAAAAGAAATGAATAAGGAGCAGGCATGATTAGAAGAGACAATAAACTGTCATAGAAGCTTAGAGAAGATAGAGTCTCAATAAGGTAAAGAAGAGGAGGCAACAGAAGCAAGATGCAGAAAGGCCAATAAGAGTGGACAGAAAGAACAGCTATCACTTTTCAACTAGAAAAAGACAGATTTCAGTAGATGTGAGATGAAGCCAGACTGCGATGGCATGAATGGTGAGCATGAAGAAATGCAGGCAGCGAAGACAGTCTGAGAGAACGAAGACTTTGGATGCAGAGAAAGAGTTGGAAGATAATGGATGGAGGATATAACTATGGGGAAAGGTTCTGAAAGAGGTAGAGAAGATGACGGGGTTTGCCCCAGACCAGAGGAGCATGTTTCCGCTGAGACAGCTGCCCTAGAGAAAGTCCTTCCTTCTCTTCACAGTTTCCCTGACAGAAAGGAAGGACTGGTGGTGGTGCTAAGAGGATAGGGATGGTGTGATAGCAGGGGTCACTCTAGTTAGAGCGTCCACACACAATGAAATCTAAAGCACAGACCTGGATGGGGGAGTGCAGGTACGGATGTCTGATTACAAACTTAGTTGTTACCTATGAATTACTAGACTCTAGATCCACCACCACCATGAATCTCTTCTGCTTAGGTTTCACACTGTGTCTGGTCCTTTCCATTAGGCCTGGGACCTGGGGGAACAACCCCAGCCTAATTCTGTGAGTCTCATATTATTCAAGAATTCTGTTTTGAGACTAAAATCCTGAACTTTCAGCTTAGCTTCTCATCTTTTCATGCTACATGGTGGCGCCTTTGTCCAGTAACTGATAATATCCTCTCATCAAGAGAAACTTCTTGGTATATAACACGTGTCACTGGCCTAACTAAATTCCTAGTCCTGGTCAATCAGGACCCCTGTCTTTCTGTTAGCCACCAACTAGAAGAAGGCATGTTGTTTCCTCATCTGTAAAATGTGAGCTGATCCTTGGTGATATCTAACGTCTGAATAGCTTTAAAATCCAGGAATTCTAAGTTGATACTGCATAGAACTTTTGCTCTTTTTTCTTTTTTTCCTTTTTTTTTTTTTTCTGGTTCAGTATTTCTTAATGTAGTATTTCCTTGTAAGTATACTTATTATACCTGAACCAGTATCTAAATTTGAGATTTTAGAAATCTGGCAGAAAGGATGTGATATGAACAACAATACATTCTTTTTATCAACAGCTGACTCACCTCTCTTCATTGTTTTCCATTTGATTAGGGAAAGCAGCGAAGTCTAGTAGTAATTTAATGGCATCGAGGTATCCGTTGTTACAGGACCAGTGCAAAGCTGTTCTTCCCTACAAGCATGAGCAAAAATCAAGTACATCTGGAGTAGGTATTTTTGGACACATAGTTAATTTTACTAACTCAAAAAATAAACAATTCTCTCCTCAAATTACTTAATTACAATAAGAAACATAGTAAGTGTACAATGGAGAAAAGGATGGTATCATAACCAAGTGACCAAAATTATCACTTCATTACGTGGCATTATTTAAGGAAGAAGACCAATCTTACACAAATTCATCAGAATGAGAAAAGAGGTACTACTTCCTAACTCTTTTTATAAGGTCAGTGTAACCCTGCTACCGAAACTTGACAAGTATAATACAAGGAAGAAAAGTTATAGGTCAAACTCTCTCATGAATATAGATGCAAAAATCTCAAAATATTAGCAAATAAAATCCACTAATATATACATTTTAAGAATATATAAGTGGTGTTAGCATCTGAAAAAAAACCCCACAATGTAATCAATATAATTCAGCTTATTAGCAGCAAAAAGGAGAGAAATAATACTATCATATTGATAGATGCAGAAATAGCATGACAGAAATTAAACAGCTATTTGTGATTTTAAAAAAACTCTTAGTGACTAGAAATATAAGAGAACTTATAGAAATATCATATCCAATGGTAAAATATTTAAAGCTTTGTCCTTGAAAAACCAGAATGAGTTAAGAATGTCAACCATCACCAGCTCCAATCAACATTATATTGGAGGTCCTATACAGTTCAATAATTTAAAATAAGAAATGAAAGGTATAAGGACTGGAAAGGAAGAAGGAAAAGTATTATTACTCATATATAGCAGGATTGTTATGTAGATAATCCAAAATAGTATACATAAAAACACTACATATAAAAATAGAACTGGAAAGTAGATTAATATAGAACTTATGTAAGAAACTGGCAACTTGTAAAAAAAGAATGTAAAAGGTATAGCAAATTATAAAATATGTATTTCTAATAACTGAGATATAAGGACCATGTTTATATTTTTTCATTACGTTAATTTTATATAGTAGCAATCTTGATAAATATTTATTGAAGGAATTAATAGGACATACGTATATTTTCTGACTTGGAAAACACAATATATAGGGTATTTAAGGAGTTAATGTAGCAAAAAGACAATATTGGCTAAACTGAAAGAAAGCAATATATTACTACACAGCTGGGTGAAGCATAGATTAACCCACACGCTTTAGAAATCAGTTTAACAGTATATATCAGAGCATAAGCATTCATATACCATTCATTCTTTCGTTTAATAACTTCACTTAGAGGAAATTATTCCAAGGTAATAATATAAATAAAGTTAAATGCACAAAGATGGTTAATCAAACATGATATATAATAAAGAAAATGTGTCCAGCAATAGGAAGTTACTTATTTAATTCTAAAATCTGGGTAACAGGTTTGGACCCTGACTCCCTTCAACCTGCCATTGTAGTCACCTTAGGGTAATTATTTAGGCTCCATGAGCTTTAATTTCCTCATCTGTAAAGTGGAGATAATAATCGTAACTACTCAGTAGAATTTATGTGAGGATAGAACTCTTAAAACTCTTAGAACTTTGGAATATTAAATATCTATAACTATTAAAAAGATTATAAACCAAGTAAGAAAATGTTGGTGATAATTTTAAGTGAACAAAACCAAATGTGGTTTGTAAAATCACATCATATATATTTATATACATACATATCCATATGCCATTTATTTATATTTTACAAAGTTATAAAGTTATTCCCATTATGACTCTGTTAAATTATATAGGTATTAGGCAAGGACTTGAAGAGAGCATGTGCAAATAAAAATCATTTTTAATTAACAGATTTGTGGGGGATCCTTTCATTTGGAAAACTGTCATTTTACTTAATTTCAGTGAACAAAGAAAAAAATACTCTAAACACTTGGAGCAGACAATATAGAAAAGACCCGAACTCTCTACCTCTTTGTCTTGGATGTTGGGGTCTGCATTATTCTCCATGAGCACCGCCATGCAGTTGATGTATCCCCCATAAGCAGCACACTGCAGAGGGGTTCTGCCTGCATAATCTTGCACATTAGGATTGATCTTATTTTCTATCAATATCTGGCAAACGTCGGCATTTCCTCCCAGTGCTGCCCAATGAAGAAGAGAATGTCCGTCTTGGTCAACTAGATCTACCCTTGCTCCACCTGAAAAAGCAAGAATAAAATGAAAATGACAATCACAGAGAACAAACAGACCCTTACATGCTTTATGTTTTCAGAAGGCTTCCACATATATATTATTTACTTCAGATTTTTACAATAAGCCTATATACATTGGTCAGGTTTGGCATCATTTCCCTTTGACAGAAAATAAAACAGGATCAGGCAAGTGAAGTAATTGCCAAAATCACACAACCAATAGGTGGAGGTGGGCCCTTGTGCTTCTTGATGCCAGCAGGTGTTCTACCCTCTATCCTTCTACCCAGGCGGCTCTGCTATGTAAGGCTGTATATTCCTTTTTTAAACATATTTTTATTGATTTTTCACAGGGAGGAAGAGAGAGGGATAGAGAGCTAGAAACATCAATGAGAGAGAAGCATTGAACAGCTGTCTCTTGCACACCCTCTACTGGGGATGTGCCCGCAACCAAGGTACATGCCCTTGACCAGAATTGAACCTGGGGCCTTTCAGTCCACAGGCCGACACTCTATCCACTGAGCCAAACCAGTTTCGGCAAGGCTGTATATTTCAAATGGTGAAGGCAAGAATTCCTACATTTTGAGAGTAACTCTTTTTTTTTTTTTTTTTAATTGTTGACACTATTTCAGATGACCCCATTTAAGAGCACTCTTACTAACTAACCTTTAATAAGGGTCTGAATCACATCTTTGTGTCCCATCTCACAGGCTCGAAAAAGTGGAGTATGTTTCATGACATCAGTAGCATCTACTTGAGCATTATTTTCCAATAATAGCTTCACGGTGCTGACATGGCCAGAAAGGGCAGCAGCATGTAAAGCTAAAAAGGGAGCAAGAGAAGGTGATAAACTCATTAATTTTTTATGTTTTTATTGATTTCAGATAGAAGGAGAGAGAGAGGGGGAGGAGGAGAGAGAAAGAAACAATGAGGAGAATCATAGACAGGCTGCCTTCTGCACGCCCCCTACTAGAGATCAAATCCACAACCTGGGCATGTGCCCTGACTGGGAACCTTCTGGTTCATGGGTGGACACTCAACCACTGAGCCACACCAGCTGGGCTGATGAACTCTTTAATAACAACTTTATCTTTTTATTTTTCTAACTATGCATCTTTTCCTGTTTTGATTTCCCTATCATTTTGGCTAAATGCCATCTGATCTTCAAGATTCTCTTTTTCAGTTTTGTAGATTTCCATCTTCCTTTCTATTCATAGTATTATTCATAGTTATTTCCATCTTCCTTTCTCATCTCACTATTTTCTTCCTTTACATCCTATTGGTCTGAAGTTGTCCCTTCTTCTCTGTTACTAGTTTACTATCTTTTCCTCTTTCTGAGAGTGAGAGATAAACAACAATAAAGAAGACAAATAATTTAAATGATGCAGGCAATACTGTCCACTGACCCCTCAATAAGCACATGTCCGAGGGATGGCGGCAGGAGACATCAATCCTTCCTTCAGCGGTTTCACAAGCTAATCCCTCGGCTGGTACCCACGTGCTACTGAGAGCTCCCACCTCTTACTGCATTGAGTGCCTTTTTCATACAACACGGCTCCAGAGGCACGTCAGCAGTCTCCTCAGGGCCCAGTTTAGAAAACAGCAATTCCTTTCAACATTGGAGAAAACACTGAGATGGAACGTGGTCTCTCCTCTGGTGCTTTTGGAAGACAAGAGTGGCTGTAACTATATGTTACTCCACTTTAGTGCTTGTCTCATCCCATCACTCTTTAAATTCTATTTAAACTCACTTTATAAATTCTGCTGGATTTTAACTATCTAGAAGCCTGGGCCAATTCTTTCTAAGTGTTATGGCTTTACAGTATCTAGAACAAACAAACAAACAAACAAACAAACAGAACTCACTGGCCCTATGTACATAAACAAGACAGTATTAGCTAGTGATGAATGGTATAATTAAGTAGGAAGTAACAAATGATATTTTGATTTTAGAGTGACTGGTGGTTAGGGAAAGCTTTGCTAAGGAACTGGCATTTAAGCTGAGACCTGAATGAGAAATGCGGCAACCTGGAGAGAGAGTAGCTTGGGCAAAGGGAACAGTCAGCACAGGGACAGGAATGGATGTGTGTTTAGGGAAGGCAAGGAAGCTGCAGCACAGCAGGTAGAAAAAGCCAGGTCACGAGTGGCCATGCAGGTCAGTGGGCTGGAAGGCACTGAAGGGCTTTGAATGGGTGAGTGATGTTGTCTGATTTATGGTTTTAACAGAAAACCTCTAGCTGTTCTGAGGAAAATGCATTGTAGGAGACTAGGATATAAGCAGGAAGATCAGTTAAAACTATTGCAGTAGACTGGGTGAAAAATAATGGCTCAAACTAGGGTGGCAGGAGTGGAGGAGAGAAAGAAAAAGATTTGGAATATATTTTGGAGAGGGAGTCAACAGGACTTGACAGGATTTGAAATAGGATCTCTGTCCATATCGTCTGGAAATCTGCATTTTGACCAATAGCCCTAGTAATTCTCATGCATATTTGAGTTTGAGAACTCTGACCAAAATGAGTAAATGTTGGGTTGGTGTAGCCTAGACAAGATTCAGATGGGTGTGTGAGATTTCACATATCTGAAGTTCTGTCCCTTCAGATATGTGAAGAGAGCACAGAGTGGATCATTCAGGTTGACAAATTTTAGCTCAGTATTAAGGAAGAAAATTCTAGAAGAGTTAGGTTAAAAGTAAAGCACCAGGTTCTCTAAATTGGAGCTGTTCAAACAGAGGCTGAAAGACAACTACTGAAGAATGGTGTCATGCAGATTAGAGCATGACTTACCTTGATACTCCAGTTATTTTCACATTTTAAGAGAATAAGAATGTTTTTCCCCAAAATGAAATTTTATAAAACATTCAACATATAAAAAAAATTAGAATTGTTCTGCTGAAACAGGGGTAGAGGGTTATCCACTTAAGCATCTACACTCCCAGTTCACCTGTATAGTAGCCTGCTGTCCCAAAGAACATGGTTGAAAAACTCGGGACTAGGACTAATTTTAAGGTACTTGCTAATTCTGAAATCCTGTAATTCTGTGATATGGCGTGAGGATGCAACAGATACTCGTCAGATAAACATCAATGTCAAATAAAAAATCACACAGCAGAACATGAATTAAGTAAAAAAGATAGAACAAATTATTTTATTAAAGGAATTTCCCCATTTCTAATTATTTGCATTTACTTTATTTTAAAATCACCTTAGTCTTAAATATTGCTGCTTCCTCTTTGAAAAAGTGCCACAAGTTTACATAGAAGAGCTATTTTTTAAAAGTTAAATTTATGCTATGGAAAATTTAAACATATTCAAAAGTAAAGACAGTAAGCTCAATATAGCCATCATCCAGCTTCGGCAATTATCAGCACATGGCTTATTATGCTCCCTCTAACTGCCATCAATCCCCCTCATTTCTGATTACTTTTATTGAAATTTTAGAATCATATCCTTCCATTTATAAATACTTATTTATTTAAAAATATTTATATTGATTTCAGAGAAGAGGGGTAAGGGGAGAGAGAGAGAGAGAGAGAGAGAGAAAGAGAGAGAGAGAGAGAGAGAGAGAGAGATATCAATGATGAGAATCATGATCACCTGCCTCCTACACACCCCCTACTGGGGACTGAGGCCAGCACCTGGGCATATGCCCTTGACAGGAATCAAACCCAGGATCCTTCAGTCCGCAAACGAACTCTATCCACTGAGCCAAATCGGCTAGGGCCATTTATAAATATTTTAGTAAGGGTATCTGCAAGATATGTTTTTTTTTTTAGAAACACAACCACTATATTAGTCAGGGTCTATTTAGGAGACACACACCACACTAGACATTTTAACAGAAATAATGCAATATAAAGAATTGCTAGATATGTATTGAAGAATGACAAAAGCCAAAAGGGAAGGCTAAGGTATCAAAAGCAGTAAATGCAGAAAACAGCTACAAATTCTAGAACTGCGGGAATAAAAACAAGAGGAAGGGATTATTAAAACTTATCTGTAATACTATCAGCAATAAAAAAATACATTTAAAAATGGATAATAAAAAGAAAGAAAAAGATATTTTGCCTTCTACTTTGGCCCAATCTCATTGTACATTCTCCACTTGTAAGAGGAAAAAAATTAAAAATATTTTCAGCTTAGAAGAGGAGCCCTGAAGAACCGAACTCAGACCTCTGGTGCTGATGTCTGAGGAGGGCACTGAGGGTGCTCTGAGGTGAGTGATGGAAAACTGCAAGGTGAAATTGCCATTGCCATTGGAATGAGATACCACTGTACTGTTGAAGAAGATTTACTACTGTGATGCCCGCAGGAGCAGTAAACTAAACAAGAACAGCAGCAAACGGGAAGATGTAATCCCCTGCTGCTCACTCAGCTTCCAGTCTCCCTCTACTGCCCCCTGTGGGTTGGTTCTAACAGGGCCCTTGCGGCAAAGGTGAAATGCAGATCCCCAGCATTCCAAAGAAAGGTTAGTCCCATTAGCATAACCTAAAAAAATTAACAACACTTCTGTAATATCAAATATCCAGACAGTGTTCATAATAACCTGATGGCTTTACCATTTTTTATACTTTATTTATTTGAATCAAGATCCAAATAATGTCTGAACATTGTAGTTGATAAGAACGTCTTTTTTACAAAAAGCAAATTTGAATCTACTGATTATTATTATTTTGTTGCTTTTATATTTTTATTCTTTTTATTGTAGTTTGGAATTCTTTTTCTCAAGGGGGAGGATAAAACAACCTGTAGAGGAATGAAGGAGAGGAAATACTTTCACAGATAAGAAATGTTAGGAAGCATCTATGACATATAATAAAACCCTAGGGAGAAAGAGCCCAGGGAACTATGAATCTGAGAAGCATTTATGTATGATTTCCAACCATGGTGCACATCAGAAAGACACGCTGGGTCAGAAGGATGCAATACTCTCACCTATACTTCATTAAAATACGTGAAAAGTTAAACTAAAAGTACGGTTGACTCCTGCACAGCTCTTACTGGGGATGTGTCCGCAACCAAGGTACAAGCCCTTGACCGGAATCAAACCCAGGATCCTTCAGTCCACAGGCTCTATCCACTGAGCCAAACTGATTAGGGCTCTTTATTATTATTATTATTAAATATATTTTATTGATTTTTTTTTTAACAAAAAGTAAGGGAGAGGAATAGAGAGTCAGAAACATCAATAAGAGAGAAACATCTATCAGCTACCCCCTGCACACTCCCCACTGAGTATGTGCCAGCAACCAAGGTACATGCCCCTGACAGGAATCAAACCTGGGACCCCTGAGTCTGTAGCATCACTTACATTTTGGATCCTGAATAAAAGAAAATCAATTATGTTTACCAGTTCTTACCTGTACCTCCATATTTGTCTGCCATGTTGATATCAATGTCAGATTTTAAACTCAGCATAGTCCTAAGGACATCATCACTGCCTTTCCCGGCAGCCCACATAAAGGATGTTCTTCCTTCAAGGTCTGAGTCATCTTTTACTGAAGGATGTTTTAAAAAGACCTTAACTGTTTCCTGTAAGAAAACTTCATTTAAAATTTTGAGACAAGAGAGCAGTATTTTTTATGGTAACAAAGCAACTGTTATATGTGACTTATACTAAGAAGCAAAATATTTTTCCCTACTTTTGAATCAGATGAAATGATTGTAGGATTTTTTGGTTATTGTTACTGTTTTTCAAAAAGAAATAAAGCGAAGAAGAAGAAGAAGAAGAAGAAGAAGAAGAAGAAGAAGAAGAAGAAGAAGAAGAAGAAGAGAAAAAAAAAAAAAAAAAAGAAGAGCAAGCCAGCCTCTTATAGATTAACAAAGTCCAAGAAAATCAGTGGGTTTAACATTAAGCTTAGAATTTTACATAATTATTAAAAAATAATCTCTTGGATTGGCCGATTATCCCAAACAAGTATTTTTTTGAATGAACATCCATAATGTTTTATACTTTTTCTTAGTCCCATTAGCATAGTTACCTAATTACTGGTATTTGTACATACGTTAAATTTGTATCTAGATTTGGGTTCAAGATCTTGGGCAAGTTATTTAATCTCTTGTAACCTTGGTTTCTTCATTTGTAAATAGGGCTAACATGTTCTATCTCATAGTCTTGTGTTGAAACACGGATTGAGTTCTGATTTTTATAGATTGACTAGACTAGGCCAAATTATTTTTTCTCTTCAAAATCTAGTTTGTATTTTTTTGTTTTGTTGAGATCTTGGAAGATAAAAAGAAGATAATGGTTAGCCAAAACTCTGGGTGATAAATAAAATAAATTTTTATGAATGTTCACAAGAAAGGACTATAGCTATAGTTCTGTGAGTACCAGAGAGAAAGAAGGGTGGAAATATAATTTTGGCAATATGAGTACTCTATGTATTCAATGGTGCAGTTGGAGAGGTCAGGAAGATAGAAGTATACTATGCTGAGGACGGCATTCTTATAACTTAATGAAACCAAGGGTTTCACTACGCATGCCATGTAGGAGGCATCAAAATCAACCATGACTGTTTTAATGCTCGCTTCTTGCTGGCCATTCATGCTCAAGGAGCTGAAGCATCCTAGACACTATCATGGTCTGGCTGGATTGAATGACAAAATGGATGAGAAAGTGCTTTGTAAATAATAAAAGTGGTAAGTGAAGAACTTTTAATATTATTCAGTATCTTTGGAAATATCAATAATTCATATGATTGCTTTCTCAAGTATATAAAGGACAAATTATAAGTACTAGTAATAATAAGAAGGCATTCCATTTTTTGAGTACCTGATCAATGCCAAACTACAGTAAGCACATGTCATAAATTTTCCCTAATCCTTACAACAATCTTGAAAGAAAAGGTATAATTATCATTGTTTACATATGAAGAAACTAAGACTCAAGGAGGTTAAGAAATTTGTGCAAAGTTGCACGGCTAGCAAATACCACAGTCGGGAGTGATTCAAAATTTATCTAGTTCCAAAGCTTTGCCACAGTGCCTTCAAGACAACTGAAGATTGTGAACACTAAGTTTTCCTCAGTGCTATAAAAGTAACAAAAAGATGAAGTATACTTACAGTAAAGCAAATGTTACACTGAGCAGTTAAAATAAAAATAAAAACTGCAAAAAACTTCATATGTATCAATTTTATAAAAGCTCAGATTATTTTTTGCATTACAGAGTTAACAATATGGACAATTATTGAAAAACAACTACTGTACAAACACCCTCACATAATAAACACATGTAAAATGGTGAAATTTGAATAAGATCGGTGGGTTGTATCCATGTCAATTTCCTGTTTATGAGACTGCATTACGTTTTTTTCAAGATGTTACCATTGAAGTAGATGGGGTGAAGGGAACACTGGATCTTGCTGTTTCATTTCTTACAACTGCCTATGAATTTACAATCATATAAAAATTAAAATTTAATTGAGAAAAAAGAAAATTGTCATGTTTTACTTACAGCAAAGTTACTCTGAGCTGCATAGTGCAAGGGTGTTGCTCCTTGGCTATCGGATGGGATGGTTCCAGACTTATTTCTTTCTAAAAGGAGATGGACAATCTGTGCATGGCCTGAAAGCAGACACAACAAGGTAGCGATCACATTCAGAGGGCGTTAATTAAGTTATAATTTATTTAAAGGAAAGGGGTAAGAAAAATCTCTAGCATAGACATATAATATTCAAATGGTTTCTGAGGAGCAGCCCTCAGTGCAGCCTCTTCTTAGTTTTCATTAAAATACTATGATAATGTAGGGCAAAGGCAAAAATTACCACACTGAAAACTTAAATCTTCAGCCAGGAAGGAAATGACATTAATGACTGTTTCCATATTGAGACAAAAGAATGTTAGGGTATGGGCTTATTGCATTCCCTGGCTTCACTTTAGAAGCTGCCCATAGGAAAGGTGGAAGCTGCTCTAGAAACTAGAAGCCAGCCCCACTGGGCCATCAGTGCCCCTGGTCTCCGGGTTCCAGCGCACAACCAATCCGAACTGCACAGCTGTTCTCTTCTACTGTCTGGGAGCACAAACTGTAATGCAATCTCCTGTGATCTCTGAGGCCTCCTATCCACCCCCAATCTTTTAACATCTAAGCAATGATTCAAATCCCCCAAAACAAGTGGGCAGGAGTAAGGGGGTGGTTGGTTATACAGAAAATATTCTACAATGCATTCTGGAGGACGTGGTCTCCATAAGTGAAGAACTGTAGAAAGAATCAAAGAATGAACACACCTGCTAGTAGTGCATCTAGGAAATCTGAATTTCATAAATCCTCTTTCTCCAGCATACTAAGAACCAGGCAGCGAAGCAGATGCCACATTAGCAGGGCAAGGACAGGCTGCACGAAAGCCAGGCAGGAGGAAGGATTTTTGTGAGCACTGTGCTCATTGCCCTGCTCTCCACTAGAGGATCAAAGACAATCTATGCCACGTGGTCAACTGAAACACACCCTACTTGTTTGAAGGATAAAACACCATCAGAAAGATTAAGAGCATACCTCAGAAAGCGATCTAGAGAAGATCCAGAGGAAAATTTCAGGAAACTGCTTGGCATCTTCGACTAAGTACAAAGAGATGGCCTCTATGAAACAAAGCAGAATATCCTAAGAAGAAAATGGACTGGAATGAAAAGGTAATGGAAGGAACTGAAAAGGGAAATAGACAGAGATAAAATGAAATATGAATGAGAGAAGGAAATCAAACTAAAGTCTATAAGAGGCAGAAAACAAGCAGAATTTATGGAACAAAAAATCAATTTAATGACATGAAGACAAGTTTGTGAAGTCCTCCAAGAATGCAGAAGAAAAGGAAAAAGGGATGAAATTGTACATTTAAATGAGCCCTAAATAAATAATTTTAAAAATAAGACCACAATAATAATTGGGGAGGGGGAGATCTCAGGTTATATTAACAAATACCAAAGAGTGGTAAAAATTTGCTAAGTTCCTTGTTTTAAATAGGTTGAAATCAACATATACAGTTTTACTTTTGACTTTGAGTCAAGACCAACGGACTTTGACCAATTTAAAGGTAACCACTAATAAAACTTAAATAGGCTCCTGAAACATTAGACAATTCAAAAGCAAATAACAACAAACCTAATCCACATACTAAAAGGCAGAAAAACAACAACTGAAAAAAAAAACACAAAAGAAAATTTAAAACAAAACGACCAATAATACTCAAAGAGCAGAATAGCAGGAAAAATAGCAAATAATATATAAGAATAACTATGGAATACTCCTGCACTAAAAGAGAAAGACTCTCAGATTGCCCCCCAAATCAGACACATATATGTACTCTCTCATCTAAAGAAAGTGATCCCCAAACATGTTAAGTAAAAGGCATATCAGGAAAAAATAAAGAAAAAAAAATCAAATATGATTATATTAGCACAAACATAAACTTAAAGCTCTCCTCCCCCAAAATAAAGGCATTGAATGGAAAAGAGAATTATTTTACATTGGTGTTTGTCAATAAATGTGCACTACTTTTATGATAAAAACTAGAGGCCTGGTACACAAATTCATGCATGGGTGGGGTTCTTCAGCCTGGGCAGCGATCTGGCTGATTGGGGCTGACTGTGCCAGCTGGCCAGGGCAAGGGACCACAGGAGGTTGGCCAGCAGTGGGAGGTTGGCTGTGGGAGCACAATGACCACCAGGGGGCAGCTCCTGTAGTGAGTGTCTGCCCCCTGGTGGTCAGTGCACATCATAGCAACCGGTTGACCAGTTGTTTGGTCAACTGGTCACTTAGGCTTTTATATATATAGATTAAAAGACATGATGTCGCCGGGTCCAGTTTGGCTTAGTGGATAGAGCGTCGGCCTGTGGACTGAAAGGTCCCAGGTTTGATTCTGGTCAAGGGCATGTACCTGAGTTGCGGGCACATCCCCAGTAGGGGGTGTGCAAGAGGCAGCTGATCAATGATTCTCTTTCATCGATGTTTCTAACTCTCTATCCCCCTCTCTTTCTCTCTGTGAAAAATCAATAAAATATATTTTAAAAATAAGTAAATAAAAGACATGATGTCGAAATAAAAACTAATATATGACAGAATACATATTATTAAAATTAAAGCCTAAATAGAGGGATTTAGGTGTAAAATAGTGCCACATAATTAGAAATGCAAATACTAGTAATTAAATGGAGGATGGGAATTAAGAAAACAGAAGGCATTAAAAAAAAAAAAAGTTTCCTATATTCATACTGTTGATCTTCTGATTCACATTCACCTCACCTAGTAGAGCTGCCCAGTGAAGTGGAGTACGAAACAAGTTATCATAAGATGTTATATTGCAGCTTTCATATGAGGTCAAGACATCAACCACTGTCATGTTCCCATCAGCGATTGCAAAGTGAAGAGGTGTTCGCCCCTCATAGTCTTGCCAGTTCAGTAAAGACTCCGTTGGAGCAGCATCCTATTTTTAAGGAACCAGAGACTTCAGACACATATATCCTCAATAAAAACACATTTGACATAAGTATTAACTGAGCAGTTTTCTAAACCTTATGCTCTCTCTCAGCATAGTAAACTAATACAATTTTTATTTTAATATTTAACCATAAAAGGTATAGAAAAGATATAATAAATACCATACACTGACTATCTAGATTGAATAGATTTAATATTTTGTGCTTGTGTATCTGTTATGGACTGAGCTAAAGCTGTATGTTTTGTTCTTTGCTCCCTATGTATACATCCATAAACAACACATAAATTTTATATGTGTATTTTTTAAATACTTACACTTATGCATTATACACTGCATGTATTTTGGCAATTTTTCTTTCAACACTATATTTTGTAGTATCTATGTTGATACTAGTTAATCTTTAAGCCACAATGCAGTTACCCATTCTCCTGCTGAAGGATACTTAGGTTACTTATATTTTCCCACTATTAACAATAATGCTGCAATGAACACAATTCCTTTACATGTCCCCTTGTAGCACATACGTGAGATTTTTCTCTAGACTAGAAACCTAGAGGGGGAATTACTGGCTTGAAGGATATCTGTATCTTCAACTAGGAATTGTTAAGCTGCTCTTCAAATGGTTGTTTCAATGAACACATCCATGACAGTGTGTAAAAGTTCTTATTTCCCCAAATGCTGGCACAAACGAACCATGTAGTATTACCAAGTTTACTGCACTTTCCCCTTATAGGTATGAAAGGCATTTCACTGTTGTATTAATTTACAGTTTTTGGAAAGGCCATCGGGGCTAGCAGCACCATGGTACTCACCAGAATGCACCGCACTGTATGCACAGCGCTTGGGTCTTTGTGGTTGGCTGCCCAATGAAGCGGGATCTTGCCCTCAACATCGGGAATCCCAATGTTGGAATCATGCTTGATAAGCAGCTTCACGTGCTCAGGGTTGTTGTAATAGGCACTCCAATGCAGAGCTGTTTGCTGCAAGATGGAGATTCTTAAAGTAGTAACCACAGATAACAATAACATGACCCGTTATTCCCAGGCTTTTACTATGTAACAGCATTGTAAGAGTTTTATGTATTTATCTCATGTAGCTGTCATGACAATTCTGGGAGAAAGTACTCTTGAATTTGCATATGATTGATAAGGAAACTGAGCACAAAGAGATTAAGTATTCTGCTCAAGGACATAAAAATAGTAAGTGACCAACTAAGATTTTAACCCAGGCAGTCTGCCTCCACATCTGCCATTTTGCCCATGGCAGGCATTTAGATAATCAGAAACTAAGGAATGATAATACTGAGAAAGAGAAAAGCAGCCCAGCAATTTATGAATAATTATCAACAAAATAATGATCTTCATTTTGTATCAAGCAACTTAATAATTTGATACAATGTTTTGAATTTTATCATCTATTAAAAAATGATCCATGCACAGGAAATCATAGTTCTGGAATTATTTTCTTATATCAAAGAATAGCTGAAATCGGTTTGGCTCAGTGCCGAAACCGGTTTGGCTCAGTGGTAGAGCGTCGGTCTGCGGACTGAAAGGTCCCAGGTTCGATTCCGGTCAAGGGCATGTACCTTGGTTGCGGGCACATCCCCAGTAGGGGGTGTGCAAGAGGCAGCTGGTCAATGTTTCTCTCTCATCAATGTTTCTATCTCTCTATATCTCTCCCTTCCTCTCTGTGAAAAATCAATAAAATATATATATTTTTTAAAAAGAATATATTTAGCTATAATTGTACATGTTAAATTGTTAGACCTACTTACTGATGAAAGATACATTTAAAAAATACAGCAAGATTTGCTCTATTTCAGATAAAATTAAAAATGAACAGCCTGAATGGGTTGACATTACTTTAAAATCTCTTCTTCCTTCTCTTCAACATAGTAAGACTGCATTCTTACTATGTAAGAAAGACTGCTTTCTCTGCCAAGAGACACAAGTAGCACTGTCATCAAGCCAATCTATTATAGAATAAGATCATCTAATAGCAGGAACCAAGCTCATTTGTCACAATAAACACTTTATATATACACTAGAGGCCCAGTGCACATATTCGTGCACCGTTGGGGTCCCTTGGCTTGGCATGTGCCCTCTCACAATCCGGAATCTTGGGGCTGGTCAGGGCCAGCAAGGGAGGGACCGTGGTAGGGTTCCAAGGTGTGTCTGGGCCATTTTGCCCAGTCCCCATTGGACCAGTAAGCTAACCTACAGGTCTGAGCGTCTGCCTGGTGATCAGTGTGCGTCATAGTAACTAGTCAAACAGTCAAACGGTCAGAAACTTAGCATATTAGGCTTTTGTTATATAGGATGGTATTCATTCAGAGTGTACCTATAGACATTTAATATAAAGAGCCACTATTTTACTTACTTCCTTTTATTTAGTAATAACTACAGAACAAAAAAGTCACAAATACAATAGCAATGAATTGCCTAGAACAGTGGTTGGTAAACTGTGGCTTGCGAGCCACATGCGGCTTGCAAGCCGTGGATTACTGCTCTATTGACTAATGAGTTTGCTGACCACTGGCCTATAACTACATTTTCAGTAAACAACATGTGCAGTTTCTGTAATTCTTTTCTTTTCCCATGTAATGTTTGTTCTGAATGTAGTATTTATTGAAATGCAATATTATGTTTGTTGAATCTAAGAGTAAAAAATTTAGGTTGCATTTTTTCTATTATATTTTTGCTTTTATTTTTCTAGTAATTATTTTTTTACTCTGGTAAAATATATATATATATATATATATATATATAGCTCATAAAATTTACTATTTTAGCAGTTTTTAAGTGTACAGTTCAGTGGCATTAAGCACATTCAAATTGTTATGCAACCATCAGACCATACATATGAAATATTTTTCAACTCCCCCAACTGAAACTGCATACCCATTTAACAATGACTACCAATTGCAACCTCCTCCCAGGCCTTGGCAACAACTGTTCTGCTTTCTGTCTCTCTGAATTTAACTATTCTAGGTACCTCGTAAGTGGAATTATACAATATTTGTCCTTTTGTGAGTGACATTTCACTTAGCCTCTATCTTCAAAGTTCATCAATATTGTAGCATGTGTCAAAATTTAATTCATTTTAAAGTCTGAATAATATCCCACTGTATGTGTACATTGCCTTTTGTTTAACCAGCCATCTGCTGTCAATGAATATTTGAGATGTTTCCATTTTTTTGGCTATTCTGAATAATGTTTCTTTGAATGTGGATGCACAAATATCTGTCCTAGTTCCTGATTTTAATTCTTTTGGATGTACATCCAGAAAAAGTATTACTAGGTCATATGGTAATTCTATGTTTAATTTTTTAGGAACTGCCAAATTGTTTTCCAAAGAGGCTGTACCAATCTACATTCCTACCAGCATTGCTCAAGGGTTCAAATTTCTCTGTAGCCTCACCAACACTTATTTTTGTTTGTGCTTAATAATTGCACCTAAAGGGTATGAAGTGCTATCTTATTGTGGTTTTGATTTGCTTTTCCTTAATAAATAGTGATGCTGAGCATCTTTTCATGTGCTTCTTGGCCGTTTGTATATCTTCTTTGGAGAATTGTCTATTCATGTCCTAGGCCTATTTTTAACTGGTTCTTTTGTTGTTGGGCATTTATATTATATGTCATAAAATTATTGCTCTGTGACAGATTGGAAATGAAAGAAACTGATCCTTTCCCTCAGATACTTTGAGATTCACTGCTCTAGGCGTTTGTCTCGCTTTCTTCTCTGTGCCTGCCTGGACTGTGGAGTTCCATTTTCCATCTGTCTCACTGGATAACCTCCCATCCCTGTTCCATACAGAATGATATACAAATATTGGAAGAGAGTAGAAAGTTTCTAGAATATTTGGGGAGGACATTATAAACCCAAAGAAATTTGTAGCTTCTTAAGTGACAAGTGTTCTTTGTGGACTTATCAAAGTGTTTTTTTTTTTTTTTCCAGTAAAATATTGGCACTTGAGTTAGGAATAATATTAGTTCACAGTATGCTGTAAAACAAAGTTGATTACAGAACTCTGGATTATGTGAGTGACTACTAAACAAAATCTGAAAACTACACAAAGAACACTATGAGAGTGAACAGATTACTGAATATAAACATTGTGGATGTAATCATAAGAGTTTTAATTACATGGGAGTGTTACAGTTAGCAAGACTCTATAATTAAGTCCCTGGTTGAAACAAAGAGGATTACTGCACTTGTCTAACTAAAAGACCACATTTTTCCCCTGTAAAAAAACGATCAGAGCAATAACCAGTCGATTACAACAATGACCATGTGTACATTATGTTAAAATTCAAAAGCAGGGAAGATAGTGAATCCTAGCAACAAATGCCAGGGCGGCTGCTAGAACCAAAAGGAAGTAACTCTGCACTCAGCATACTTCCCCAGGCATCGGCCATCACAAATCTAACCACCATCGTAACTATCACAACCAGTTGTTCAATAAGAGGTTTCTGTTTGAATTCTAGTCCTCATCACTTGGATCTTGGGCAGAATTTTAATCTTCTTGAGCTTGTTTCTCCATCTGTATAAAGGAGAGTGTACTATCTACTACAAATAGTTGCAAGGAGGATAAAAGGACAGACTTCAAGTGAAATACTTTACTAGGGCATGTGGAGACCTGGAATTCTTCTATCATGTGTATGAGTGGTAATCCCTGCCCTCTTCCTTGAGGTTTCATATTATAAAAGGAAGCACTTACTTCCTGCTCTTATTTGTCTTTTATTTTGGCGCTCTGTTACCTTGTTTTTATCCTGTGTATCCACCTCTCCTGGCGCCATAAACTTCAGCAGAAGCGCTAAACACTTGGGGCTCTTGTGTCGGGTGGTCAAGTGCAGAGGAGTCATCTCTTCTAGATCCTTTTGCATCCAATTCGCTCTACGTGTGAGTAAGAGTTTCATGAAACGATAATTTCCCTAAATAAAAAACGAGAGATAGTAAGAGAAAATTTAGTGTGGGGTCATATTTTTATTGATTTCAGAGAGGAAGGGAGAGGAAGAGAAAGATAGAAACATCAATGATGAGAGACAATCATTGATCGGCTGTCTCCTGTAAGCCCCACAATGAAGATGATGCCTGCAACCCAAGCCTGTGCCCAGACCAGGAATTGAATCACGACCTCCTGGTTCATAAGTCGATGCTCAACCACTGAACCACATCAGATGGGCAAATTTTAAAAAAAATTTAAAGTGTTTCAAGTATTTTAATTATTCTGCTGCAGTAATAACATTCAAAATAATAAGAGGGGAAAAAACTTAAAATTCTACTACCCTTTCAATTGTTTTATTTTTTCATGTTTCCTTCCAGCCCCTTTCCATATACATCTAGTTTACATAATTCTGGCCAATATTTCATTGTCTAAAAGCAACATATTTTATTTAACCATTCTAATATTATTTCCAATGCTTTCTTTATAGAAGAAATCAGGTTTTTTTTCTTAAAATTTTTCGTAAGAATAAATGATCAGGAACCAATTTGCTAGGTCAAAGGAGTTTGTACATTTTATGTGTTTTGGTGTATTCTCCAAATCGGTATATAGTAGCAGCAATAAGTATATTATCTTTAGCACGTTCTGGCCAATATAGCACATATTATTAATATGCAAAACATGGTAACTTTGTGAAATAAGCAGAGATTTTAAACCCCAATTTACAGGTGAGATTCAAAGGTGTTAAGTGTAACGTTTACAGACATTTGGTTGATAAGGAGGAGGTGGCTGGTTTTCTGGAAGACAGCTATTTTCAGGTACAACTAAAGTACAAGCACCTTGTTCAAACTTTGGGTCCCTGACTCATATGTCACCTAAACACTAACCCAGAAATCATTGCAGGCCATCCATCTGAGGCAATCCTCTCCATATCAGTGAACCCTCCAATCTGACAGAATCAACTCATCTGGAAAAAGAAACAAGGGTAGAGCAATACACTGTAGGGGATCCTCGTCAATCATTATAGAATAGTACCTCCTTAACCTCAGTTTCATTTTCTGCAGTTTCCATAACTGTAGTCCAAAATATTAAGTGGAAAACCACAGAAATAAACAATTCGTAAGTTCTAAATTGTGTGTAGTTCTGAGTAATGTGACAAAATCTTGTGCCATCCAGTTCTGTCCTGCCTGGGATTAGAATCACTGCTTTATATAGTGAGTCAAGAATAACCCCTTTGTTTGGTGTATTCATGCCACATACCCTACCACCCTTACAAGCCATCTTGGTTATCAGAGAGAGAGAGACCACATTCACATAACTCTTATTACAGTACATTGCTATAATTTTTCTATGATTAGTTATTGCTATTCTTTTAATGAGCCTAATTTATATATTAAAATTTATCATAGGTATGTATGTATAGGAAAAAACATAACATAAGGGTTCAGTGCTAACCTCAGTTTCAGGCATCCATCCGGGGTCTTGGAATGGATTCCCCACAAATTAAGGGGTGACTATTGTATAGTATAGTATGTCTGTGTAGTATAAGAGCCTTGAAACAAACAAAGCAAAAGAAACCTACCAAAAAAATAGTTCTTTTGAGGTTTTTCCGAAGATGCTTTGTACCACAGATATTTCAAAGTCAATGTAACCCAACTGCATTGCATGACCAAGGTCTCTGCCTACTTCACGCCTCTTTACCTCTCCCAATCAAAGTTAAAGCACAGTGGGCAGGGTTATCTGTCCTTTTCACTTTCTGAGATCCTCTCCACCTTTAACCTTATCGGAAATTTGGCCGTTTAGGATTATAATACATTGATGTTCTACTATGAGGGGTTATCAGTATAAGTAAAGAAGACATTTGTTAATTAAGTATCCCGCCTGCCCAGGTGAAGAGTGTGAGGCTCTAGGGTGAAGGAGACCAGTTAGAGCAACAATGAGGTGCAGAAGAATGAATGAGAGTTGCCTGCTTGTCCAAAGGACAGAGACAGGACTCAACCCAGCTCAAGAATTGGGGCAGCATAAACCAGTCAGAAAACAACAAGTATCACATTATCTCACTCATTTGTGGAATCTAATGAACAAAATAAACTGATGAACAAAATAAATCCAGAGACATAGAAGCATGGAACAGATTGACAAATCTTAGAAGGAAGACGGGAATGGGTTGGGTGGACAATAGTGTGGTGAAGGCCTGGAGCTTGTGGGGGGAGGGGTGCAGTATGGGGAAAACAAAAGGGAACATCTATAATATTTTCAACAATAAGAATAATTATAAAAAAAAGAATTGGGGCAGAGATAAGAAAGAACAAGGTTAGGAAAAATGGTCCATAAGACTCTCTAGGGTGGAACTTGAAATTCAATAAATCTAGGAGCTTTTTTCATAGCAACATACATTTATATTAAGTGTCTATATTAAGAGAATGATGTTATAAATATCCAAATGGCCTCTAGCAAAAAAAGGTTCCCGACCCTTAGAACAGGCTAAAAAGCAAACAGGCTCAGCTCAGCTATTTTCTCTCAGAGAGGCTTGTCCTTCTAAGTAGACCAGCCTTATGTTGTTCTTCTTTATTCTCGCACCCTTTCAAGCCATTCATATACTTTTCTCAGTTTATAATGACCCGTATATATGTTTATTCCCTCCAATGGGATCTTCCTCACAAGCGGTCAGCAACAGAGGCTATGTTTTAATGACCTCTGTGCTTGGCAGTGTTCCTGGCACAAAATAGGTATTTAATAAACATCACTTAAAATTCTGAGTAAGAGGAAGTGAGATATCTTCTAGAGGTTTTGTTTTTATTTAAAAATTCTTACAGTTGCTACATCAAATCATAACAGAATCTTAATTCTCAAGTATCTGGTCTTATGCTACTCTTATTTTTAATGTCTCATGTATCTGAGCCTCATTCATAGCAGGCATCATTTATCAGGACTTCTCATTTTGCCCAGGGTCAGCTTTGGAAAAGAAAAGTGCTAAATTTTCCTCAAGAGGGCACCCTGCTCTAAATCTCTTGACATCTTTTCTTTGAAAGAAGAAAAGGTGCCCACGGAAAAACAAATCTCTGTGTTATTTCACACCAAAAAATAAAAAGGTTGACCTTTTTGAGCATAGCATTTCAAATATTACAGAATAATTTATCATGACCTTTCAAAGATATTCAATCAGACAAGTATTTTGATTCTGAAATTTCGAGGAAAAGGGAAGGAAAAGGAAATTAGATATGTTGATGGGGATAACTACTGAGTTACAGACACAATACTTTGCATATTTACATTTTACATTGTTCTGGGAATTCTACCTACATGGCACATCTCAGTAATAACTGATTTACTCATTCATTCAACATTTATTGAGCCTTGTTCTGAAGCAGGCAATAGTAAAATGTTTGCACTTGACTTATTACAAAGATCTTCCTGTGCCTCTACTTCCTAATCTATAAAATAATAATAGTACCTGAGATTATTATGCAAATAAAATGATACAGATAATATATGTAAAGTTCTAAGAACAGTGCACAAAGCAAAGGCTCAGTAAATGTTTGCTATTTTTATTATGAACAGTTTTCCCAGTGTGGAGCAGCTAACAAACATAGCCGGTCAAGTGAAACCAAGAGTGACCACGATAGAGGGCTGGTAGGTAGACCAGGAGATATGACCATACATGGTATAAATAATTCAGCTATTGATTAAGGAGAAAACCAAGGTTAGGAGAAGTAAGAATAAAAATAGTTGGAATGTTATAAATAAGGATATTTCTGATTTTTTGTTTTGTTTACATTAACTAGGATGTCTGTGTTCTACCTACAGATAATGATGCTGTAGAAACAGCAAGGGCATACCCAATAGGAATTCAGCTGGTGATATGGGAGGGGTTAGCTATTTGTTCAGGCCAACTTCTCCTATTTGATAGGATAGAGATACATCAGAAAACTGGGACTACAAACAATATAATCTAGTTGGATCAAGGTCAACTTCCTTGGTCTCATGAACAAGTATTTATTAAATGCCCAATATATGCAAATTCAATTCTAAAAATGAACACAGGGGAAGGACAACTCTTAGAGCCAAAATCAGGAGAATGTTTCTAGTGTCAGTGGGAAAGGGAAAGATATTAGTGAGACAGCAAGCTGATTTTAAAACTCTGAAGGTTGTATAATTCTGGGGACCCTGTTACAGGCTACTTTGCTTCCTATAAAACAAACTGTCTAAACATTTCCTCCCTATTGCTTGAAATTGGGACTTCTTAAGTTTTCGAGTTTATTCTTATAACACAAATACTATGAGGATAATTTGGAAGTTAATCATCTCCTAGAACCACCTGGGGCTTCCTAATCCTGAGTATAGACTGTTTTAGGATCTCCTTTTGCCATTTTTGACTGGTTAGAAAACAGTATAAGAATAAGGAGATAATAGATCAAAAGAAACTGATGGTTAACATAGAAGTGAGAGAGCTGAAGTTATAGGAAAGCTTTTGCTTTTTTGTTGTTGTTGTTATTAGGTAGTCATAATCCTCCTCTTATTTTCCCATAATTATTAACACCAAGAACTTCTTTTGTTTATAATACAGATAACTATAACATTGGGTTTCCCCCTAGATGCATGAGGAGCAAAATATCCAAAAGTGTTAAAGAGGATGAAAAATTCTCTGACCTGTAGAACAGAACTGGAAATGAACCTGGGAAACCAACCCAGAATGCCACGTTCAAACTTGCACAGTATTTTGTCTGCTCAGTTCTCTAAAATGAACTCTTTTTTAAGGAAAAAATATAGACATTAAATCTTAATAACAATAACAAAGACCTGGGTGAAGTACCTTGACATTGTACTTTAGATTTTCCATTTTTAAAAATTGATTTCAGAGAGGAAGGGAGAGGGAAAGAGAGAACCACTGATCCACTGCCTCACGCATGCCCCACACTGGGTGGGGGTCGAGCCCACAACTTGGGCATGTGCCCTGACCAGGAATCGAATCACGGGACCCTCAACCAC